CATTCACAGAAATGCATGTAGGAATATAAATCTGTATAGACATTCGAATGACATCACTTCTGTGTGCTCAAGCAATGTGTCATTTAAATTTTTCGATATTTCTTGACCATTTACATCAATTGACATATAAATAGGATTGACACACATTATACAAACAATAATGAAATAGGTGGTTTTACCCAGTAATGGTTAATCAGGATGTTCTGGAATCATGCTGTTACATATAAGTTGTAATGCACAAATGTTTACTGAGTTGCCGTACTGCTGTTGTTACCTACTATATTGCTTTATAGCCAATATATAAATTCATTATATCATATAACATTAGTTCTAATATTCAAAAACAATACTTACAACAATAAAAGCAGCCAAAACATAGCACAAATACAACATGTAAAGGTAACAGCATATTAGCTACTAATGGGCTCTATTACACACAAGCAGGCTTAACTACTTCACATAAATCTCATAAAAGCTAACAGGAGTGTCTTCATCATTAGTTGCTCCACCGTCTCCACAGACCCTCAACTCAATATAGTCAGTAGTGGTAGTGCTACCATAGTCTCTGTGAAACCATGGGATACCAGGAACATTACAACAAGGTGATTCAAGAGAACCACAACCTTGACCATCCCAGAGTGGATCAGATGTGTAGAGAATTTGAGAATAACCAGAAGAATTATTACCAGACTCACAAAAATAATGGTTTCCTACAAAAGATGGGAGTGTTTCATTGCTTCCTGTTGAACATGGACACATGAATTGTGAATAAGTGTTATAAGTGTCCATTAAACCATTTGCTAGTGTCCAGACATGTTTACGAGGAGACCCACGAGTGATACTAACACCATCAACATAAGGAGAATCGAGGTTGCTTGGTCCATGAAACGCATCAGTTGAGAAATATTGATATCCTGTTACTCTACCACATATCTGAGAATAACTGATACCATTAGATGGGAACTGAACTGATACACAGCCACCACTGCTGTTAGTCCTACCACAAGCTCTAACTCCTCCTGACTGGTACAGTTTAAACCCAAAAGGACAGTTCTGTGTAGCATCAGACATATCCAGATATGCTAGTCTTGTCCATCCTCCTCCTGAACCACATGGTTCTGGTAATACATTAGTCTCAAGAGGAATAACACTAGAAGAGGGAATACTGAGGGAAATTGAACTAAACTCAGTAGGATAGACAGATGAAGTGCTTAATAACACAGAACTGGTTAATAGAACTGAATTAGTCTCTGTAGATTCACTGCTGGTTAATACAGTCTCTGTTGGTTGAATGTTGGAGGGATTGACTATAGATTCCTGTAGCATCTCCATATTACAAAATACATTTCCTTTGCCTATTATATTATAATATCCTGATGAACTCTCTGGCCAATAATTCTTAATATCCTCACAAGATAAAGTAGCTGCTGCCTGACAAGAGGATGATTCCTCATCATTAGCTAATATAATATACAGTACAGGTCATTATAATGAAGATATTGTACTAATGATTACCTGAAGATATGTTAAAGCAGTGGAGTAGGACAATACACAAGAGAACTGGTCTTAACATTTTAAAGAAAGAAGGTATTAAAAAATAAATAACAGACAGTGCTGTTATAAAGGAAAGACTGCATGCCTCTACTTAATAATGCAATAATAAAAATAGCTATTACAGATTTTGTTATCACAATAACACAATTTCCTTCATATTAGTAACAATTATACACACTAATGACAAAAGGAAACGAGATTCTTGGTCAATACATTGTAAGTATAACAACATGACCTGCTAGGACAACAAGATATCAGACTCATAACTCTTACTGTATCTTGGAGTACTGCACGGGTATGCATAATCACAAGGAACACCTCTAGCCTCAATTCTGCTATCTACAATATGATTCTGATACCTGGAATATAATACTATACATACATGCACCTAAATTTCACCCATGTTATTATTGAAAATACTTCAGATGCTATACTCTACCAGTACATGCTAGTATTGGAAGGAGCTGCATGAAATTTCAAAATGGAGCCATATTAGTCACTAATGACATAACTATAATGATATTCATAAAAGCATGGCGGCTATGTTGCTTCACTTTTGCTGTTGCTGATAAGCAGTACAATAGCTAACACTTTTCTTAATCCTGCTCATTTTATACAAATGTTGACTAAATTTTCAGTTTGAAGAAACATTTTCGTGCAAATCTTCAAGCATAAACACATACATACACAAAAAATAGACTAATGTGTGACTATAAATAGAATACTCCATATAAGGGCAAAAATAAATTTACTCTAAGAGTGCATAATAGGTCTGCTACTGCCATAGAGCACTTATATATAACATAGCCACTGTATAGCTGCATTATATAATATAACATTAGTTCTAACATTCAACAACAATACTTACAACAACAAGATACCATTGGTGCATTGGCCTTGCCAAAACAAAGAGAAACAATATTTGTTTTAAATGTATGATTTCAAAAATATATTTTGTCCTGCATATTACCACTGTAGGTATTAAAAGTTACTTATTTATATAACTATACCTGTGGGCAAAAAATTCACTCTATAATAGTGTATACTAAAGAATAGGAACTATTGGACTAGAACCGATCATGCTACATGTATTAGTGCAAATATTAAGAAGTCACCGAGTGCTGCAGTAATGAGATATTATACATTAAGCCAATGCAATTGGACATAGCTAGACAATATATCTAATATTTTCAGCAAAAATAATATTGAAAACAAAATTAATAATTTACAAAGGAAATTATACATCACAGTATAACAGCTAGGACATTGTTCTAAAACACTACAGTCACACACCCACACACAATTCCCTACTTAACATAAATCTCATAATAGCTAACAGGAATATCTTCACTACTAGAGCTTAGGGTAGCACATATCCTCAACTCAATATAGTCAGTAGTGGTAGTGCTACCATAGTCTCTGTGAAACCATGGGATACCAGGAACATTACAACAAGCTGATTCAGCTCTACCACAACCTTGACCGTCCCAGAGTGGATCAGATGTATGGAGAGTATATGATATACCACTATTAGGATTCCCTGATTCACAGAAGTAGTTATTACCAATAAAAGACTGCACTAATACTGAACTGCCATTATTACATGGACATGAATTTGATGCAGAACTTAACTCACTAATACCAGCTATTAGTGTCCAGACATGTTGACGAGGAGATCCATGAGTAATACTAACACCTTCAAGATAAGTAGAATCAATACCACTTGAACTATGAAGACCATCAGTGTGACCATATTGATATCCTGTTACTCTACCACATATCTGAGAGTAACTGATACCATTAGATGGGAACTGAACTGATGCACAGCCACTACTTGGTTTACCATAAGCTCTAACTCCTCCTGACTGGTACAGTTTAAACCCAGAAGGACAGTTCTGTGTAGCATCAGACATATCCAGATATGCTAGTCTTGTCCATCCTACTGAACCACACAATGTTCCCATATTACAGTAAGCAGTATAAACAGATCCCCCAATTGTAGTAGGTGCCAGTAGATACAAACCTGATGGACTGAGTGGTTTTCTCTCCATAATCTCTTTACAAGAGGTAGGAAAAGTAGTTGATTCATTGTGTAGTACTAATAGTTCTTGTGCTATTAGTAGTATATCATCAGCCACTCCAGCAGTAGAGGTACTGGTGTCTTGTATATTAGAGAGAGTATTGACAATGTTGATGAGCTTCTGTGCAGAATCTTTTGTAGTTTGTAAGATCTGTTCGTCAAGTTCAGTGAAGTTGGTATTGTTCTGAAATAGTTGAAGGGTATTTTGTGATACACACCATTAACCCATTCATTGATTAAGTCAGGAAGGTTCCCTGTTACATTGCTGTTAACTCTAGAGACAACGCCATTAGCCCATTCATTGAAGTCAGGAAGGCTCCCTGTTACATTGCTGTTAACTTTATATACTATATCATTAGCCCATTGAGTAAAGTTAGGTGATTCATTGTTACCAGCAATAGCTCCAGTAGTAGCTGTACTGGTACTGGTAGTATCTCTAGCAGCCAATTGAACCAGTAATAGACAAAGTATTACCACCAGTAGCAATACTATGAGACACAGTATAATAGAGCAATAACTACTAATGGTGTACTCCATGTTGACTGCTTTGATCCTTTATTCCATGATGCTGTAGCTTCTCTTGATTGATCACCAATCCTCCTTACATTAGTATTGAAATCAACCAGTTCATAAGGATTCTCTTGTACAAGAGTTGGTGTCTCATATTCACCCTTTACTTCCATTGCTAAAAAGGTAACTTGAATGATACGTTCCACACAGCCACAAGAAAGTGCTACTCCTAATTGCTACTCCTACATTGTATAAAAAAGGAATTTATTGCTGTTGTAATAGCAATAAATTCTTTTGGTTGTAGACATAATCATATTACAAATGGTGTAGTATATAGCAACTAAATAAGTTTAGTAATTATATACTGTCATGCATGAGTATAATAAACATATCTAAATGACTATAATTAATTAATGCAGCACATTGGCTGATTACCTGAAGATATGTTAAAGGAGTGGAGTAGGACAATACACAAGAGAACTGGTCTTAACACTTTAAAGAAAGAAGGTATCAACTAACTGAATATCAACTGGTATGAGCAAAGTTATAGACTACACAAGAACTCTACACATAATTAGCATTACTTAATGACGTGTGATACAATAATAACATTTTGAGTGTGTTTTGAAGGATCATGATGGCTGCCTTAATCCTAGAATTAGTATTTATAAAGAACTGGTATCTCTTTCATTAAAATTCACATTAACTGTTACAATACATTCACAGAAATGCATGTAGGAATATAAATCTGTATAGACATTCGAATGACATCACTTCTGTGTGCTCAAGCAATGTGTCATTTAAATTTTTCGATATTTCTTGACCATTTACATCAATTGACATATAAATAGGATTGACACACATTATACAAACAATAATGAAATAGGTGGTTTTACCCAGTAATGGTTAATCAGGATGTTCTGGAATCATGCTGTTACATATAAGTTGTAATGCACAAATGTTTACTGAGTTGCCGTACTGCTGTTGTTACCTACTATATTGCTTTATAGCCAATATATAAATTCATTATATCATATAACATTAGTTCTAATATTCAAAAACAATACTTACAACAATAAA